GCTGACCATGGGGCAGAGGAGGGTCTGCTTTTCCTCAGGCTCCTTTCCTGCCCGGGGTCCTCTCCTGCCCTCAGATACATATTTTCTAAATTTTTTAGGGGGCCTGCAGGCCATATTTTGCCCACCCCTGTTCTACCACAACAGCTGCTGCATGTTACAGGTTTGCTGTGTTTTGATTAGACCTGCCCCACGACAGCATAGACCTCATTCAGGGAGCAAAGCATGCTCAGGAATAGAGACCATCCATTTGTTCACAGCTACAGCAGCATGCACTTTCATGTCTCCTCCTAGAGGCTGAGTGAAGACAAAGACCAGCAGGGATGAGGGATGCCTCTAGGGTGGTATTGAAAAAAAGCAATGACATTTGATCACTACAGCATAAATGGCTTTTCCCATCAGCACCCTGGAAATGAAAGTTCTCAGAGAGCATCATGGATCCTGCAAGCCAACTCTCCTTGCTTACCATATAGGCCCATGTTCTTGGCATAGGACTGGGACAGCACAATGTTAATGCCTTGCTCAATGAAGTGACGCACAGCCCAGGCATCCCTGTTGATGTCCCCACTGGCGAAGCCCTGGTATGCCATGTCGAAGAACACAAAGAGATTCCTTTTCTGCAAGTGAAAGCAGAGGTTTAGCAATTCACCCAGGTTCCTTCTCACAACTGAACCCCCATTTCAGCAGTGATGATAGATGACAGAACAAGGAGCAACAGTCTCAAGTTGCAGCAAGGAAGGTTTAGGTCAGACATTTGGAAGAACTCTCTCACTCAGGAGGGTGGTGAAGCACTGGAATGGGTTACCTAGAGAGGTGGTAGAATCTCCATCCTTGGAGGATTTCAAGGCCTGGCTCAACAAAGCCCTGGCTGGAATGATCTTGTTGGGGATGGTCCTGCTTTGAGCAGGGGGTTGGACTAGATGACCTCTTGAGGTCCCTTCCAACCCTAATTTTCTACGATTCTATGAAGAGTAACACCAATACAGACATTGACACATGAATCAACTCTAACTCAGCTCACCTTTACCACAGAGGCCAGCTCTTTCCATTGCTCTGGTCTTGGGTCCACACCCGTGGGGTTGTGAGCACAGGCATGAAAGAGGATGATGCTCTTCTCAGGAATTTTCTAAGGAAGATGTTAGAGAGTAATGTAAGAGAGCTGTAAAAGCTACCTTTTCCTTCTTCAGTAGCAGATACAGGCTGCTGTACAAGACAAGTGAGAGGCCCTAGGGTAAGCAGTGATTTAGAAGACAAAGTAATGCCAGAAAGGAGGAGCTGACCAAGGCAGCAGCAAGGAAGTTTGCCCTCAGGAGTGTGAAGAGTCTTGCAAGTCTCAAACCAAAGTTCTGAGAACTCCCACATTCCAGTTATAGGGGGAAAGAGGTTCGAGTCAGGCTCAGCCTAAAGGTTATACAAGGATGCTCAAGAACCCATAGATGCACCTCTAGTAGCATTTGTATCTATAGATCAGATATTAGCCCGATGGGGCCAATAATTTGGCCGATAAGGGCCCATGCTGCATGCAGCTGCAATGCAGCAGAGCACGCGGTACGGAGAGCTGCCTCCAGCTGCTAAGTCAGAAGGGGAGGGGGAAGGGAAGGGGCATGGGGGGGGCAGATCAATGTCCACTGTGGTGAGCAGGGGCGGGGCAAGGGCAGG